AAAAAAATATATATATATATATATATATATATATATATATATAAAGAACCCTGGGCCCCACAGCTCAGGTGAGCTTCCTTGGTTGTCTATACTTCATGCATGTTGTCACATCATTGCTGGGGGATTTAATTCAGCACTGTCAGCAAGACTCCACTGGGAGCAGACAACTGGAAGCTTGTGTCCATTTTATCCTGAACTTTGCCCTATGTGACCTTTCCTGTTGCTGACTTTAATCTCTATCCTTTTGCTGTAGTAAATCATATTCTTATGTTTTTGAGTCCAATAGCTCTGCTGGGATCTGTGAGTCCTTCTGGCGAGTCACTGAACCTGAGGGTGGTCTTAGGGACCCCTGAAAACAGTCATACTGACTTGGGTTCAAATCCAGGATTCACTACTCATTTCCTCATTTCTCAAATAGGATCAGACCCCCATCTCACATGGCTATTTTGTGGATAATAAGTGCAATGAATAATGGAATGTATTCACACACTACATCTTCATTTCCTTTCCTTTGATGAAGTAAAGGAGATATGTCTACTCTCTGGTGCCCAAAGTGGTATTCCTGGAGAAAAAAAAAAAAAAATCCAACCCACCTGAAACTTGGTCTTGTCATCTCCTTCCTGGGCAGGGGCTGAGTCCTGAGAGTAAATCACTGCAGGAGAGAAAGAAGCCATGAGGAAGAGGAGGTACCTTCTCTGAGCTCATAGACCACTGGCCTGAAACTCAGGAAAGGGTACAGCTTTCCATACTGGTTTCCTCACACCTAAAGCAATTCCTTATTCACCAACTGTTTCCCTCTCCACATGCAGCTGGGATTCTCTCTGACCCCACAGCCTCCATTAACTCTCACCTCTCTCCTCATGTCTTGAGGTCGAAGTCTCCATGCTCTCGTCTCCTGGGCTTTCTGAAAACAGCAGCGGTTTTGCCTATTCTCTGATCTTCCTGAGCTGGAGAAGCAAAAAGACAAAAGGCTTCTTCATTTTTGAGATTCTCCAAGCTCTGGCAAGGTGTGTCAGATGGATACCTGTGGTCAGAAGTACCTGCCTCCCCCTTGACTCCCCAGAATCTGATATGATGGGACCTATTAACTCAGGGAACTTCAGCTTATCTGCATCCTTTCTTCTGGGCTCCAAAGCTCTCATCTCCAGGAAGAATTACAGCCTCTGGATGCTACTTATTCAGTGGACATTTAGGAAGAAGCTGTTTTAATAGTCCCTGCTCTGGAAAGGCACACAGTGTAGAGCCAGTAACAGTGCAGGTGGGGAGATGGTCTAAGATGGCAGCACAGCTAGACACCTCATAATGTCCCTCTTACAAAAGAGACCCAAGAAAACAAGTAAACTGGATATAGCTGACAACTTTGGAACCAAAAACATCTAAGGTAAGGCTGAAGAAATGGACTGAGTGCTAAGTGGAAGTAAAAACGATACAAAAACTGGACACAAAGAACTATGGATCACCAGTGCTCTGCCAAACAAACCTGCACAGTACAACCATATTAAGAAAAAGAAGGCAGTGTTCCCAGGTGAATCCCTGTCACCCAATGCAGCCAAGCAGGAGCGCCTATGCCTTTATGTCTAGAGGCAGGGCGCAGTGCTTTCTGCCCTGAAAAAGTTAAGTGCACTGACCTCACCCACTGTGTCTCCTCCAGCCCTCCATGGTGGAGGCCTGTGGACTTGCAGTACCCCCTCTGCCCCTACTCCATCCCTCCCCCTCTGTATGCGATCACATTCTGGTGGCAACCATCAGTTCCCTGTCTCCAAAGCCAGGGGCCTACAGACCAGCTGCACCTGCCCCTTCACTTAGTCACTCATACCAGGGTCCCACAGACCTGCAGGGCCAGCCTATCTGCCTAGCCATCAGTGCCAGGTCCCATGAAAGGGTAGTGCCCGCTTCTCCACCTACTTACCTGCCCGGGAACTTGTGAAATGGCAGAATCCCCTCTCTACCCACTCACATGCATTAGGAGCCCGTGGTCCAGTGGCACCCCCTTATACCCATCCACCCACACTTGGGGCCCACAGACCAATATCACCCATTCCTGAGCCAGCCAACCACATAGGGCCCATGGATTGGCAACATCCACTCCTCCACCTTGCTGTTGACACCAGGGACCAAGGGACTGGTAGCAACCCCTATTCCACCCAGCTAACTGTGGCAGGGGCTTGAGGACCAGTGGCCTACACTTCTATGCCCAGTCATCTGCACTGGGGCACTTGCTGCTCTGCCCCGCCACTGGTACTAGGGGCCCAAAGACAGTGGCACCTCCTACTCCCTCTAGCCACCTGTACTGGGGACCAAAAGATGGGTGGCACACTCTCCTCTGGATCATTGACTAAAGCAAATGGGTAGCCCTCCTGTTGAGCACCTGTGGACTGGCAACCACAACCATACCTTGCCCCCCATGCTACCTGCCCTGCAACTGGAGGCTCGTGCCCACGCAGACCACTCACACAGCCCTGCCCATCTGAGATGTTGGTCAGAGTTTCCGTACTACTCACTTGGTGAACAAAGATCCAGGCACCCTCACTTCAACCACATGGCAACCAGAAGTGCACAAACAACACTCAACCCAGTGACCAGTGAGAATGTTCTCTGCTCTCACACCCAGGTGCCCAGCTGGATGGATAAATCACCTCATAAGCAACACCAGCTACATCCTCAGCTGCTCGACAAGATCAGCAAACAGAGACCATGTTCATATCCCCAGTGACTGCCACACCTACCCAGACATAGGTGGTTAGAGCTCTATGTGGACAGACTAGCATGAATGTTCCATCTAGTCAGATATATTAAAAAATCAGGATGCAGCAAACAAAACGAAAAAATGAATATAGTAACACTTTTATGCCTTGGAGGCAAGGAACAATATCAAATCACATAAAGAAGCAGGACAAGATGGTTCCAGCAAGTGACCAAAATAAAGGATGAAAAAACTCCCAGAAGAAGAAATGATAATGGAACTACTTGATAAGGAATTAAAAAGACTAATATGTAAGTTTGTCTCTAAGAGATCAAGGTGATCACAGACAAAACCAAGGAAAACATAAAGAAAGCAACAGAAGAATCCAGGAAAATAATACAAGAAAAAAATGACAAAACAGACAATTAGAAACTATACAAAAACAACAACTGGAGATCCAAAAGATGAATAATAAAATTTTAGAAATAGACACCTCAATATAAGGACACAGGAGCAAAATTCAAACAATGTAAGACGGAATCAACAAAATAAAGGACAAATTCCTTGACACAAATTATTTGTTTAATGAAAAATAAGGAAAAAAAAAAAAAAAAGAATGAAGAAAACCTAAGATTTATGTGGACACTATCAAGAAGAAAAATGTGCATGTGATTGCAATTTTAGACAGGAGGCAGCAGAGGAAAAATAGACACAGAGAATTGTTGAAGATTTTCTGGCAGAAAACTCCCCTAATTTAATGAAAGACAAGAAAATAACCATTCAAGAACCTCAATGAACCCCACCCAGGATGGACCCCAAAAGAAAGTCACCAAGACATATCATAATCAAACTTGTCAAAACTAAAGACAAAGAGAATCCTGAGAGCAGCTTGGGAAAAACAAAAAGTCACTTACAAAGGGGAACCTTTAAGAGTAAAAGCTCTGATTATTTGACAGAAACCACACAGGCAAGAAGGCAATGGGATGATGCAAAAAGGGTGTGGGGGTTGTGTCTGACCTCCTCTCACTTCACAAGTGGGGAGGAGAATCAAAAGGAACATCAACAGCCTAAGCTGATTCCTGAGGCAGAGGTCAGACATGCCACCACCTTCCAACCTTTTAAACAATTCTTTTTTTTTTTTTTTTTTTATTTTTTTTTAATTTTATTGTGATTTGGGTGAAAGTTTAAAGAGCAAATTCATCTTCCATACAGCAGTTCACATACACTTTGTCTCATGACAGTGACTATAATTTCCCACAATGCAACAGCTCCCCTCCCACTTCCTCCCCACAGTTACCTCTTCCCTGTGTCCTTCCCTCTCATGCACTCCTGCCCCACAAGCTTTCTCCCTGTACATACACAGCCATTCTATTCTCCCATATTGATCTCGCCAAGGAGTGTATCTACTTAATGTAAATGTTCAGCTCATATGCCTGTCTTTTATCTGGCTGGAAGCCACAGGAGTGGGTTCAATTCCAGACCTGAAGGGCAGCTAGGGGCCAGAGTCTCAGGGGTTCCACCAGGCTCTATCAGACCAGCAAACCTGGTCCCCCTTTTTTAAAAAAAATTATGATTTTGAGTTTTGTTCCACATTGTTCTCCCAGTCTATCCAGGATCCCCTACATAGATTCCCTTTTGAGTGATTGCCAGTGGTAGCTGGGCACCATCTAGTTCTTCAGGTCTCACAGTCATATAGGCTGAGGATCGCATCTTTTTTTAACCAATTCTTACACCAACTGTTCCTCCGATGGTACTCTACTTCTCTGCTGGGTTTGATAATCCTTTGCAGGGGCCACACAGAACTCAAAGACAATATTCACCATTATAGGGTTTACTAGGGAAGTAACAGGTTACAATTCGGGATCAGAAAACAACTCGGGATACAATTCTTCAGTCAGGACAGCCTCTTTTCAGCTGTGCTGCAGGCACACTTCCCTCTGGACCTGGACGCTCAGCCTGCAGTTCCTTGGCCTCTTTGCTGCTCAGGCAAGTGTTACAAAGCTCTTTTAGCTCTATCAGTAGGTGCCCAGGGAGACACCCCACTCTCCCAAAAAGTCTCCTGCCCAAAGGTGCTCAGATGTCTTACTCCAAGGGCTAGGAAGCCCACCACTCTGTCTCCTGCTGGTCTCTTGGTTCTGTTGCCTCTACTGCTGCCATTTCTCTGCCACACTTCTTGCCGTCTGAGCAAAGTGTTACAGCTGTCTGTCTCCTTGACCAAAAAAGTGGGTATTCACTTGCAGAAACAGGAGCCACACCTCACATCATACACAGAAGAAACTAACTTAACATGGACAAAAAATGTTAAAGGTAAAACTATAAAGTTATTGGAATATAATTTAGGGACAAAACTATGGGACTAATTTTTTTTAGAGATTATCAAACAAACTAGAAATGTACAAACAGTAAAAGAAAAAAAAATTGCCATCTATTGTGGTGTTTTCTTTTTAATGACCTTTTGCTTTCTTCATGTATGATCTTCTTGATGTCATTTCACAACTCATCTTGTCTTTGGACATTAGTGTTCAATGCATCAAATCTATTCTTTAAATGGTATCTAAATTAAGGTGGGATATACAGAAAGTTGAACTTTGGTTCTAGTGGACTTGTTTTAATTTTCTTCACCTTCAACTTGAACTTGCATATGAGCAACTGATGGTCTGTTCTGCAGTTGGCCCCTAGCTTTGTTCTGATTCATCTTAGTATCATCATGATGATATTGAGCTTCTCCATAGTGTCTTTCCACACAAGTATTCAATTTGATTACTGGGTAGTCCATCTAGTGAAGTCTATGTGTATGGTTGCCATTTATGTTGTTGAAAAAAGGTATTTGCAATGAGTAGGTCATTGGTATTGCAAAATTCTATCATGCAATCTCTGGTGTCATTTCTAACACCAAGGCCAACTTTCCCAACTACTGACCCTTTTTTCTTTCCAACTTTCACATTCCCATCACCAGTAATAATCAATGCATCTTGATTGCATGTTTGATCAACTTCAGACTGAAGAAGTTGGTAAACATCTTTAGCTGCTTCATCTTCAGGATTACTGCTATGTAAATTTGAGTAATAGTTATACTAACTGGTCTTCCTGGTAGGTATGTGGATTTTATTCTATCACTGACAGTGTTGTAATTCAGGACAGATCTTGAAATTTTCTTTTTGACTGATTATACTGTTCCTCTTCAATCTGTCATTCCTGGCA